TTCCAGGTGCGTTAGGGGCCGTGTGGGGCCGGGCCGAGCGGGGACAGGGAGCACGGCACGGTCCGCAGTGCTGTCCGGGCTTTTCCTGGCTTTGTTTGTTATCCCGAGTGCCGCCGTCAGTTCCTCTGGCCGTGTTGCAGACGGAGAACGGAGTGCTGCTGCCCTCGCTGCAGTATGCCCTGCCCTTCCTGGACCTGCACGGCACCCCCCGGCTCGAGTTCCACCAGTCCGTGTTCGATGAGCTGCGGGAGAAGCTGCTGGAGAGAGTCTCGGCCATCGCTTTGGAGGGGAAGGTCGAGGAGAGGTTTGTCAGCAGTGACTTCTCTAAAGGTTCCTCAGGGACTGAGTTCAGTGGCTTTGAGGTGGCCACTTTGTTCCTTTACTGCTGCATGGTGCCTAGTCTGGTGTTTTTCCATGATTTCAGATACAAGAAGCTGGAAGATCTCCTAGAGAAGAGCTTTTCCCTGGTCAAGATGCCCTCGATACAGCCCGTGGTCATGTGTGTCATGAAGCACTTGCCCAAGGTGGGAGCACTGCACTGCTTGGCCTGGTGTGACGTGGTGTGACATGCTGTGACACTGGTGTGACATCCCTGGTGTGACATCCCTGGTGTGACATCCCTGGTGTGCCTCTGGCAGGTGGGCTCTGCTCCCTCTGCACCTTCTGCCACATGTGTTGTTCAGTGTCAGGGACTGACTGAGGATTCAGTACATTCTTGTGTCTGCTAATAGCTCAGTGGACTAATTCAGAAAGCATTTCACGTTTTCATAATCAGACAAGACTATTTCCCTCTTTCCTTCAATCCATGCAGCTTCCTAAAAAGCCAAGTTTGCTGATAGGTGAGTTTTTCCACAGCTGATTTACAAATCTCTGACAAGTGGAAGGCAAGACTTGAAGAGTGCAATTAAAAGTAGGCAGGAGGGAGAATCAGATCTCAGAATCAATGAAATAAAATCTCTAGGAGTGTCCTTACTAAAAGCATCATGTTGCACTCAAGGTAATGGAATCAAAACACTGCTGGAACTTCGGTAATTTATTGAGATTGGAAATATCACCTTAAATGTCAGCACTGGAGATTTAAAGTAGATCTTTTTTCTTCTTTGAAAGAATTAATGGTTTGTGATTTGGTTGTTGAAGTCTCTTAGGACTGCTCTGCTGCTACACCAGGTGGGTGAATGCCCAGACTGCCTGAGGTGGGGATCAGGGCATGGGGAGGATTGTCCTGCTCTGCACTGGGGCAGCCTCACCTTGAGTCCTGGGGCTGTTTGGGTACAAGATAAAAAACCATCTAAAGCTGTTGGAAAATGTTAAAAGGATGGGGAAGGGTCTGGAGGGGCTGTGAGGAGCAGCTGAGGGCTCTGGGGTTGCTCAGCTGGAGCAGAGTGAGGGCAGAGCTCCCCGGGGCTGCAGCTCCTCCCAAGGGGCAGCTCCATCTCTGCTCTGGGCCAGGGACAGGAGCCAGGGCACGGCTGGGGCTGGGCCAGGGCAGCTCAGGCTGGAGCTCAGGGCAAGGCTCTGCCCCCAGAGGGTGCTGGCACTGCCCAGGCTGCCCAGGGAATGGGCACGGCCCCGAGGCTGCCAGAGCTCCAGGTGATCCTGGTGGGTCCCTCCAGCTCAGGATATTCTGTGATTCCATGAGTTCAGCCAGGGATGTGCTGAATTATCCACCATCCATGCTGCAACTGGTTGTGGCAATGTGCAGTTAGCCACTCCCCAGGAACCTGAGCTGAAAATGTGGATATTTCCTCAAATCAGAAGCACTGTGCTCTACTGGCTTTTCATTTTGTGCTCCACTGTGCAGCCTTTCAGAATCAAGCAGTTTGCAAACCCCAGGGGGATAAAAAGGAGCTCACATGGATTTCTCAAGTACAGAACAGCCCAGGTTTCCTTTTGTTTTGGTTTGTGGGAGACAGGTCCTGGACTGGATGATCCTGGTGGGTTCCTCCAGCTCAGGACATTCTGTGATTCCATGATTTGGATGGTTACAGGGACAGGCAGGTGAGGAGCTGCTCACTGTGTAACTGCTCTGGGATTGCAGGTCCCTGAGAAGAAGCTGAAGCTGGTGATGGCTGACAAGGACCTGTACAAGGCCTGTGCTGTGGAGGTGAAGAGACAGATCTGGCAGGACAACCAGGCTCTCTTTGGGGATGAGGTGTCACCCCTGCTGAAGCAATACATCCTGGAGAAGGAGAACATTCTCTTCAGCAATGACATTTCCTTCTTGCAAAATTTCTTCAGTCCGTCTCCCAAAACGAGACGTCAGGGAGAGGTAAGGACAAGGAAACTCTCACAGTGTGTGTGAGGGGAATTTATCAGCTTGCAGTCAACCATCACATAACCTGGGCTGCTTTCTTCTCCCCACCTTCACTGCTGAAGTTATTTAGCTGAACAAACTCTTTGCAAGAAACACCAGGTCATTTTCTCCTACACATCTTGATCAAAACATCATGAATTATTTTAGTTGTTGTGTAATAAAAGTTGAATGTTCTAAGCTGTTTATGCACTTCACAAAAAGAAAGGGCACATTTTTTTTTCTCTGTTGGTTAGTGGGGTTTTAATTCACTTCATCTGTTCTTAAGGCTGAACATCCTTTATCACACCAGTTTGAGTGTGATGATATGTTAAATTTGCTTACTTGGGAACTTTTTTAGTGGACTTAGCTTAACTGAAGTTGCTTTTTTTTATTTTAAAATATGTAGAAAATTGTAGTTAATTGGCAGCCAGAAAAGTTGAATTAAATTAAGGCAGGATAAAGCTTTAATTTCAGAGAGGGCAGCACATTTATTACATGAGGGGTTGTTTTAGGCCTGTTTTGCTTTCAGAATCATTTGGTGAAAGTGCCCTGGTGCAATTTACTCCAGGTTTGCACTGCAGAGCAGGACATTCAGCACCACACCTCCACTTGGTCATCCCTGAGGGGATGGGGGGGAGAATCAGAAGGGTAGAAAAAAGAAACTAGTGGTTGAGACAAAACCAGGTTGTGGTTGTTGAAGATCTGGTGAATGTCTCGAACAAATGCTCCTGGAAATCTTGGTGTAAACAGTTCCTCTTCAGGACCTCGTGTCCCTGCAGGTGTTTCAATCTTGGTAAATCACATCAGATAATTAATTGACATTTGTGTGTGTGTAGAATGAGAGCACCTGGTGGTGCTGAGCCCTCATTTCCCCTGAGCTCAGGTGGTGCAGAAGCTGACGCAGATGATTGGCAAGAACGTGAAGCTCTATGACATGGTGCTGCAGTTCCTCAGGACGCTCTTCCTGCGCACCAGGAACGTCCACTACTGCACGCTCAGGGCTGAGCTCCTCATGTCCCTGCACGACCTGGAGATCAGTGAGATCTGCACTGTTGATCCCTGCCACAAGGTACCTGTCACATGGGGGTATTTGTGGAGAATTTGCTGGAAAAAGCCCTGAGAAAACGAGTCCTTTCTGTAAAGAGAGTTCAGACCTTGAACCTAAACATCATCTTACATTCCTTAGACCTTTGGGTGAAAACTTCATCTTGGTTAACCAGCAGTTTGCTTTCATTTCATAACCCATGCATCATTCAAATTTAGGGTGCTTTGGCAATGTTAAAAGCAATGTTTACTCTCACATCTATTCTATGTGGATGCTGCAAAAATAATAAAAAACATCAGCTGGCCCCAGGTTCTTACTCCAGGCTTCCCTCCCAGTTGTGGATTTGCTCTATCTGTCAGTAAACTGTGTGTGTAGCAGTAAATACTTTGGATATTGAATGAAAACATGAAAATGAAAACATGAAACTATTCAAATATTGGGAAGTGACAGATGTGGTAATGTCACAACAGGATCTTGTTACTGGCCCATTGTTCATGGTAGCATCACTCTGACCTGGAACAAGGCCTTTTCTCTGAAGTAGTTGTTAAGTTTTGCATGTATTCTGCTTAAAAAATAGTTCAGTAGCACAGCTCTAAAGCAGGAACACCTCCACTGTCAATACTCCTTTATTTAGTGAGTGGCAGTGTTATAGCAGTGGCCAGAATAAACCACATGTTTGTTTCTGAGTGATGCTGCTTCTTTCTCAGTCTCCTCCTTGTGTAAGTCCACAGGTGTGCAGGGCAGTGGTGGATTTAATAAATGCCTGCTCCTTAATTGCCAGGGAAGTGAGAAAGTGACCCCAGGTTAACTTCCCTGAGCATTCCCAACCTGCTTTTGGGGTATTGGCCTTTCTGACCTCTGTGTTTGTCAGCACTGTGGCACTGTGCCTGGGTGCACTAATGAAGCATCTCAACTGCAGATATTTTGAGGTCATTCTGAGCGTGTTTTCTCTGACATCATGTGTTCTATTGCTGTTTAATGAGTTCCTAAAGCTCCCTCCATTTTGCAGTTCACCTGGTGCCTCGACGCCTGCATTCGGGAGAAGTTCGTGGACAACAAGAGAGCTCGGGAATTGCAAGGATTCCTGGATGGGGTGAAGAAAGGACAAGAACAAGTGTTGGGGTAAGGCTCTTGGGCTGTTCATTGGGAACCTGAAATTGGCTTCCTGGCACTCACAGCATCTGACAGGTGTTCATTCTTCCCTGAAGCCACCAAACCTCCAGCAGCCCCTCTGTGCACTCACAGAGTCACAGCCAAGCACAGCCTGGTGGCAGAGCTTCCACTGCTTCACTTGCCACCCTTGAGTCTCCCCTGTGGCCTCATAACAAAATTCATTAGCTTTTCTTAAGGAGTCAGAATAACTTAATATGAATGACTTGTCTGGCTTTAAACCCAGAGAAAATGGGCTGGTGATGTTTGTCAGTTAAAGTATTTCATTAACTTCAAATGAAAACCTTGCTGTGATCTGGTACACTTACATTTCTGGAAGGTTGCTCTCTCAGTATTTTATTTAGCTGGTACTTTCAGATTTGTCCATTTGTATTTAAAACTACTTAAGGATTCACTTTTACTTGTTGTTTTTCAAAACCTCTGAGACCTTTCTGTCCTCAGCACTCTGGACATGGTTAAAACCTGCCAGCTCAAAGAGCCCCAGTACCTGTGGGCTGTCTGCCAGCAGACCTTCAGCTGCCTGTGGTGGATTTTGTAAATCACTGCTTGATCTCAGTGCAGAAGACTTCCAGCAGTTGTTTTTTCTGCTCTTTCATATTGAACCCACCATGAGTGTTATTTCTTTACAAGGCAGGACAAGGTTCAGCAGGTGCACACAGCTGGGTTTGGACCTGTACAATGGGGTTGTTGCTTATGTGTGACAAATGTTTGGTTTTTATTTCTTCTCAGGGACTTATCAATGATCCTGTGCGATCCCTTTGCCATTAACACCTTAGCCTTGAGCACCATAAGGCACCTGCAGGACCTGGTTGGGCAGGACACCTTACCCAGGGTAAGCATTGCAGCTTGTGTAGCTAACCTGGGCTGTGCTCTGGGCTGACTGACTGACAGCCATCAGGGAAGGACTGGCACCATCCAAGGCTCATTAAGTTCCCAAATGTGGCAGCTGGAACAAGGGAAACATGATTCCTGTCCAATTGCAGAGCTCTTCAGGAGCTCTTTGGACATTTTGGAACTCTCCAGACTGACCATAAATTCTTTGCATGGCTCATTCTGCCTGGCAGCTGTGCAAATACAGAATAATGTGTAGAATCTGTGCCTCCCTGCTTTGTCCCTCCCTCTGTCTGACAGCAGCACCTTCCTCCTGCCACGGTGAATGCCATGGGTTTGTTTGCACAGCTCTGCTCTGGTGGCTGAGATAAAACACAATTCCTGCAAGTGGAGTCTGCAGGAGGTGCTGAAGGGTTAAAGAAGGGCACCCTGACAGGTGTCTGAACAATGGGAGCCACTTGCTGTTTTACCCCTGAGCTGTTAAATGTTCTTGCATGGAGCAACTTCCTTGTGACAGTTTAAGACTGAAAGTCCTTTGGGTTTCAGGACACAAACAATCCATTCTTACACACCCCTTCTTCTCCTTTCTTCTGCTGAGATGACTTGGTTTGTCCTCTCACACATTAGATTCTAGTGCACTAATTGGGCTGGACACATTTTAAAAAGATGTTCTCAGATGACTGCAAACTTCCTGGTGCATTATAAATTCACAAACCCTCCCCAAACCCTGAGGTGTGGCAGTTATTTGATGCCCATTTGAGGATCAGTTTTCAATTAACTTGAACTGAATGCCTTTAGCAGTATTGGACAAAGCTGCTAATCCAGAACAGCTTTGAATATAAACCACTTCTTCCAAATAAATATCTCATGTGAAAATTAAAATTAAAATAGCTGTTTTTCTTCTCCCCTTAACATTGGAGGAAAGCCCAGATCTGCTGCTGCTCCTTAGGATGCTGTCTTTGGGACAGGGGGCCTGGGACATGATTGACAGCCAAGTCTTCAAGGAACCAAAAATGGTGAGCCCTTTTGATGTTAAGAATTTAACACAATTAATCAAATTTAGACTTGTTTATTATTTTATTGCATTCCTGATTAAACATTTGTTCTCCAAATGTCTCATCAGAGCTTTCTTGGGAAAAAACAGTGGTCAGAGAGCAGCTGTTCTGGACATGCTGGGAGCTTCCATTACCTTTTTATTTCCATGGGTGCCTGGTCCTTACTGTTCTAAAATCAGCCTGTACCTCTGTTAAATACTCCACTGGTTGCTCATTGCTCTCTCATTTTTCCTGGAGTCTTGCACACAACTGATGTGTTTGTGGAACACATCTTGCATGAGGAAAGCAGGATTTCCAGGACTGTCTCAAACTCTGGTAGCAGTTCAGACGCTTTTCATTGACAAGAAAAATGGTTTCTTCCCCTTCCAGCTCTGTGTTACAGCAGTTTAATGTAGTGTCACATTGAGCTGTAATCTTTCCATGCTTTGGAAATCCTTTCCCAGTGTTAGAGGAATCCCTGGTGTGGCTCAGCTGAGAGCAGGAGGGCCAACCCTGGTGTTGCACAGCAGGGCTGTTCCTCAGGAGCAATTTGCTGTTTCTGTTCTGAACTATAAAGCAGTAAATATTTTATAAACACCTGGGGGCACATTTGAAGTCTCTAAAATGCATCCACTCCTGGCTGCTTGGATGTTTAAATTCACCCAGGGAGGGTGTGCATAACACTGGGAGTGGCCAGTCATTCTGAAGGTAGTGCTGTCATTTGTGCTCTCTCATGAACCCATAAAGGAAAATGCTCAGTTTCTTTCCGAAGGGAGTCTCTGAATCAGTCTTTAAAATCTGATTTATTTGTGCTTGTGTTGCCACAAATAAGCCTCTGGGCCATGCTGGGAGTCAGTGATTGTTGATATCAGCAGTTTGATGGCATCCTGAACACATCCCATGCCTGCAGCAGGGCTGGTAGAGCCTCTCAGGAGAAATGCAACACAATTATCCAAAGAAAGGGTTTGAGCAGGAGTGTTCCTATAGTGAGATGAAGCAGAGTTTTCCTAATTACCATGGAACTGTGTGGAAGTGAATTATTCAGGAATTTTTACTGGAATTGGATGTCTGTCAGCTGATTTTCCTGACTGCAGGATGAGGCTCCTCACACTGCCTTGCTTTTGTCACAGCACTTCAGGACCATGGGTTGGCATGAAGTGACTGATGATGGCTTTGTTCTCTTCCCTCCCTGCAAGGAAGCCGAGCTGATCACCAGGTTCCTGCCCCTGCTGATGTCCTTTGTGGTGGATGACCACACCTTCACAGTGGATCAGAAGCTGCCCTCGGAGGAGAAGGGACCAATCCCCTACCCCAGTGCCATTCCCGAGGCTTTCACCAAGTACGTGCCTGGCCCCACCCACCGCAGGCTCTGCCTCCAGGGCAGCAGGAGCCAGCCACACCTGGCAGGGAAAACTGCCTGTGCTAAAGGCAGGGCTTCCTGGGGTGAGATTCAGTGCTAATTCATCGAGTTTGAACTTCAACAAAACAGGTTTCCCTTGTGCTCCCTCAAATACAATTTATCTACATAAAGTCATATTTCCTATAATGGACCATTCTCTCATTGAATATGAGATATATATATGAATTTGAATATGAAATATATTTGGTGTTTCTGTTCAGCTTCCCAGGCAGTGGATGCTGAGTTTGGGGTGATGTTTGGGTGCAGCTGGATGAGTGCCCATGTTGAAGAGCATTATTGGAAATCATAAAGTTGGCATTTTTGACACCCACACTCTGTCTGTTGATAACCTGTCACCCAAGGGACATCAGAAAGATAATTAACACCTCTCTCTGCTCTTTTCTGTTCAGTTCTTCCACTGATTTCTAGCACAATTCTTGTCTGTGTGCCAGAATCTGGATACTGTGTTCTGGTTGTTGTGCTCTCCTCTATCACAGTGTTGTGTTTGACTTTTGGGAGACTGAAACATTATTGGATTTTGTAGAATTTTTGAGTATTTGGGCTTCTTCTAAAGGCCATTTTGAACAGCACTTTTTCAGGAGTACATTATAACTGTGGACAGTTAAACACAGCTGTTTGCTGAATGTTCAGTTTTTGGAAGTGTGGTAGTGAACACAGGGATGATCCACCTGCTCACTCACTGACTAGCTGCTCTTCAGTGGGTTTGAGATGAGCCACTCTGTACCTGTTTGATAACCATCCCACAAGTACTTTAAACCTCTTAAAAATTAAAAAAAAATTGCTTTATTGATGAATAAACTTTGCTTGTGCCATAACAGGTTCCTGCAGGAGAACAGGATAGCTTGTGAGATTGGGCTGTATTACATCCTTCACATCACCAAACAGAGGAACAAGAATGCTTTTCTGAGGCTCCTGCCAGCACTAGGTGAGTTTTTGTCTCATCTTCTGTTTGCCTTGTATGGGACACCCAGGAGGCTACTGAACCTGGAGTGACAGGGATGTCAGACTGGGACAGGGTGTTTTTCTGCCTTTGGCTCTTCTGGTGACTTAGTTGTGAGTCCCTGCAGGAGTGTTTGGGTTCTGCAGTTTTCTGCTGATGTGAGAGTTTAGGGGTAATGCTGAGGTCAGTGGTTCCTTACATCAAGGCCTCCATTAACAATGAGATCAGTTGAGAACTGTTTGGAATGAATCTGAAAAACAGCAAAGTAGGTGCCCCAATTCTGCTGCTGCCCACAGTGACTGCAGGTGGCCAGAAGTTGCTGGGACTTGGCTTTGTGTGGTGGAAAAATTGGTAACAAAATAAGTAACAAAATAGGACTGAACACAGCCTTAATTTTTCCACCAGTATTATCTTGTTCACTGACTCCTCTGAGATGAGTTGCAGGAGAGCTCTGGAGCAATCTGCTCCTAATCTTTTATGTCTGAAGGATCAAAGCCACCTGCTTGGGCTGCCTGTTAGCAAAGGAAATGAGAAAAGAATGACTGAAAGGAAGTAGGCTTACATTAGATATTGGGGAGGAATTGTTCCCTGTGAGGGTGGGCAGGCCCTGGCACAGGTGCCCAGAGCAGCTGTGGCTGCCCCTGGATCCCTGGCAGTGCCCAAGGCCAGGCTGGGCAGGGCTGGGAGCAGCCTGGGACAGTGGGAGGTGTCCCAGGGGTGGCACTGGGTGGGCTTTAAGGTCCTTTCCCACCCAAACCATTCCATGATGAAACCTCACTGCAGGGATTTCAGCAGGAACAGGAGCTGTGTGGACAGGTGTTGGCACATCCTTGTCAGTCTGTGTCTCTTTCCTTGCCGTGTTTCATAGTTGAAACATTCAGTGACTTGGCCTTCAGTGACATTTTCCTGCACCTGCTCACTGGTAACCTCACCCTGCTCAGTGATGAGTTTGCACTCGAGGAGTTCTGCACCAGTCTCTTTGATGGCTTCTTCCTCACTGCCTGCTCCAGGTAAAGCAGATTGTTCTCACTGGAGAGAGGGAGTTCACAGAATGCCTGACAGAGTTTTACTGCTTTGAACAGTAGTTTAATGGTTCATCCAATTCTTCACTAGCAGTGGAAATATCAGCCTGATGCTGTTTTTCTTTAAGGAAAGGTGAATGTTTTGGGATGAAGTTTTTATCAGCAAAATGGATATGTCTTGACTGTGAATTATTTCATTCATTATGCCTAAGGTGGAGTTGCAAAGAGAATATCCTTCAGGCTTTGCAGTAGCTCTGGCTGTGTAGAGTTAACTTCAGCTCTTTGCAGTATCAGCAGCAGACAAAAGTCTGTTGTTACCTCTGGTCCCTCACTCTGGTTTAGCTGGTGGCCTGCAGACAAGTTGAGCCTCCAGAAAGCTTCCCTGAAAGTGGCTGAAATTCCTGCTGGAGCATAGCAGCATCTGCTGCTGCTTCTGCTGCTTCCTCCACACACTCTGTGCTTAAAATCTCCCCTCCCTCCTCGTGGTTGTGCAGGTAATCCACTCCTGTTGAACAGTGCCTTGAATCCTTGAAGGTCTAAGGCAGTGTTAGTGCTTACACTAAGTTAGCCCCTTCCAGAAGCTCCATTTCTCAGGGGTTTTGGATAGTTATAACAAAGCCTGTGGTGGGGGGAATTATTCTGTTGCTCTGGCTTCCTTGTTCTCAAGATGTTTGTTTGTCTTGGTTACTGTGCTTTCTCTCTTGCAGGAAGGAGAACGTGCACAGACATGTGCTCAGGCTGCTGCTGCATCTGCATCACAAAGTGGCCCCAGCCAAGCTGGAGTCTCTCCAGAAAGCTTTGGAGCCCACCAAGCAGGTAGGAAGGGGAGAAGGGGAATTCTGATTGCAAGTGAAAGCAGCTGCCGTGCCAGACACTGTTTAATGGAACACAAGCTCTGCTTTCCAAGGCTACCAAGCTGTGGCCTAATTAATTACCTTGTGGCTCCCTCCTCCTGTGTTGGTTTGTGGTAAACACACAGGGTGAAGCACACTTGGTGCTCTGGCTAGAATGGAGTGTGACTGTGCTGTTTGCCTGTCCCTGGTTCTTTCCTGCAGAGTGGGGAAGCTGTGAAGGAGCTTTACAACCAGCTCAGTGAGAAGCTGGAGCTGCGCAAGCCCAGCCCGGCTGAAGTGACTGAGACTCCCTCCATGGAGCTGCCCCTGCCCACCGTGCCCACCCCAGCCTCACGCTGAGCTGGGCTGCAGGGCAGGCCTGAGGGGAGAGGAGCTGAGCCTCTGCTGCCTTCTGAGTGCCTCTGCCCACGGGGTGGAGACAAAAACAAAGCCACCGAAGCTCCTTCAGGATTCACTGCAGTTCACCCAACTCACTGGCTCTGGCTGGTTAGAAAACTGTATGCAGTGCATTGCAAGGTTTACTTTTCTTAAACATAGCTGAGTGTCTTCTTGTAGATCCACTTGAAATCTGACTGTACATTTTTAAAAGAAAAAAAGAAAATGCATATTTTTAAGCTTAGCATCCTGTGTTTTAAGCTCTTCTCAGTGAGTGTGGCTGAGCAGGTGCTGTGGGCTGTTGAGGCGGATCAAGGCCTTGGTCTGCCCCTCGGGGTCTCTGGACAAGATGCTGAAGAGGAGGAAGACTCAGAGGAGATGAGCTCCACTGAAAGCAGTTCCTGTTTGAGGTTCCAGCTCGTGTGGCACATGGTAAGATGTGCTGCACTCTCAGAGGTGTTTGGTGCTGCCACCAACCTGGGCAGCAGTCAACAGCCTCTTCTCAGATCTTCCACAAAGAGAGCCAGAAATGGAACCAGTCTCTCCCCTTTCCTCCCAACTTTTCTCCAAAGGAGTAGCTTGAAGTGAGTCCTGGAACCTGTTACAAAAAGCAAGGCTGGGATGTTCCTCAGTGGCAGTAGGACTTGAGTGTAGGTGCAGTGATATTCAGTTTGTGAAAACATAGAATCATAGAAATTTCCTGGGTTGGAAGGGACCTTTCAGATCATCCAGTGCCACCCCTGCCATGGCAGGGACACCTCCCACTGTCCCAGGCTGCTCCCAGCCCTGTCCAGCCTGGCCTTGGGCACTGCCAGGGATCCAGGGTGGGCACCCTGTACCAGGGCCTGCCCACCCTCACAGGGAACAATTCCTAATTCCCAATATCCCATCCATCCTGTCTTCTGGCAGTGGGAGCCATTCCCTGTGTCCTGGCACTCCAGGCCTCTCCCCTTTCCTTGAAGGCTCCCTTCAGGCCCTGGCAGGTTGCACTTGGGGCACCCAGAGCTTCTCTCCTCCAGGCTGGCAGGCCTGTCCTTCATGGCTCACTCGTGTCACTGTTTCTGTTCCACTTCTGCTTTTGCTTCTGCCTCAGCTGGAGTGTGCAGGGCCCTGTTCAGTGCCCAACCACCCTCTGAGGAAAGAACCTTATCCTCATACCCAACCTAAACCTTCCTTCTTTCCCCCATCAGCTCTTGTTTCCTGGGACTGGAGCTCTGAGTGCCAAGTCACGCTCAGGAGACTCCTCTGTTTCCTGAAGCTGTGTCCAAAACACCCAAACAAACACGGCAGTTAAGTGGAGGGGTGGAACTCCCTCCCCAGTGCTGCTCCCTCCCCCTCTGTGTGGTTTTCTTCCTCCTGAGCTCAGAAATGCTGTGTGAGGGCAGTGACACCCTCCCTTCACCACCTTGGTGCTTTATTTCTCCTTTGGTGCAGGAACAGGAAAGGTGGGAGGTGTTTGTGTTTGACACAGGGGCACTGTCCTGTACCCCACATTTCCTGTGTTCTCTTGTTTCCACTGCAGCTCCCAGATCAGGGCTGCCTTTGGGAGCTTCTCAGCAGTTCTGATACTGGATTTGTTGGAAACTGCACCTGTGTAACAATTTCCTGATACTGGATTTGCAGCACCTGAGTGTAACAATTTCCTGCAGAGGTTTGGTTTCAAACTGTTTAAACTGTCCTGGCAACTTAGACCAAACAACATCCCACCCTGCTGCCAAACTTTGGCCATGAACCTGCTCAGGCCCATGCTCTGCTCAGACTTGGAGGTTATTTTAGGTTGTTTTGAGGATTCTCTTGGTCACTTGAGGTTTCCCATGTCCCAAGTCTAACATTGTGTTCTCTTGCAGCAGGAATTTGTCATCCAGGATGATTATTTTTTACTGCTTGGTACAAAGGCCTGTACCTGCAGGACTGTCACACACAATGGTGATTTTTCCCAGTTTTTTACATCCATGAAGAAATTGAATCCCAGAATATGAACTGGCCATTCCCAGTGCTGGTGGCAAGTTTGGCTGAGGAGGGGAGAGCTGGGCAGCTGAGAGGGAGTGGCTGCCAGCTTGGTGCTGCTCAAGGAGACACAATTCCAGAAAACAATGTTAGTAGTGAACATCTCCTCCTGCTTGCATGTTTTTGTAGTGAAAATCTTCCATGTTTTGAGATGAGAAAGGTTTCACTCCTGTGCCAGGAATGACACAGAGCCCTGTTGTGCAGGTGAGCCCTGCATGGCAGGAGCTGAGCTGGCTGCACTGGG